AGCACAGATAGCCCTCGGGTAGCTTTGCGCGAAATTCAAAAACAAACAAACAATTTATTGGATCGTTTTTGAAAAGTGTTTAAGCGCTAAGTTGCTTTTAGATATGTTACTTTCTTCCTAGTAAAACGTATTTAAAGTCGTACAACTACATAAATGTCGTCAATTTTTCAATTGATCTACTCATTAATTGCGGGGTCCTCTGTTTATCTTATTTAGAAAATTATTGATTTCACACTGTCTTTTCAGTCAGTTCAATAAACTGGGTGTTGTAACAGGCAAAACATTAATTTTCTCACCCTGATGTAATTAGGGCTTGATCGATGATATGCATAAAAAAATATGATTCTCCGCAGGACCTCCTCTTTACAGGGCTAACGAATTCTTTTTTGTGTTTTAAATCAATTTTCAGCTTTCAATTAAAATTAAATTATTCAGTTTGAACTTAATACTTTATTGGGATTTAGGAAAATGTGCTGGTTTAAAGAAAAGGCAGGCATTTATGGTAAACTATTAAACCTATACAAATCTGGGAAAATTGGGACTTTTACTGTTTTATCCGGAAGTCTGGTAATCCCAGATCAGTGGTTCTCAAACATTTTCGTCCCGTATTGCGTTGGCGGGGCAAAAGACCCCTTGGACCACCTACCCGGCCAATTTCTACTTGCCACCGAAAAAAAAAAACTTATCAGCATTAATAATAAGAATGGCACTGCTTCTGGATTTTGGACCAACCCCCGAACTCCCTGGGGGACCCTCGCGAACTACCAGTAGTACTCGGATCACACCTTGAGATCCCCCCCACTACATTTTTCTATAAAATAAGACATAAAGCGTGACAATAGAGAAATATGTGTTTGAGATCTTTAATAAATTGCAATAATTACTGTACAACTACGTTTTTACGTAATGCTTCAATTTAATATTTTGTAAAAAAAGAAATGTTTACAACATACAATTCTAATATAATATTTAGCAGTATTTTTTACAACAGAACACTGTATAAATTTAATAAAATCCTTTCAATATTCGTGATCTTTTCTGTTGACTGTGTAAACATATTTTTGTGAGCGTAAGTTAAATCAGATGTCACAAAAGTGTGTCATTCCTGCATCAGCATTATTACGCAAGCTTATTGCTGAACGGATGAGACAGGGTGAATTAGTCACATTGTATTTGAGGGGTGAGGGCATAGTATTTCTCAGATCCGTGTAAAATCCAAACCAGAGGAATTGATTGTAAAACGTGATTGGTAATAATTAGTAATAAGCATAATCGAAGTATTTTTAATATTTTTTGTAAAAATATATGTACCAACGTCTTTCCGTTTTGAGGGCTGAAA